CACCTCACACAGCCCTCATCCCTACATGCTGTCACCCACACACTGTGCAGACACAGTTGTCACACACACATACACACATCCCACCCCAGCACACACTCTTCTCTACACCACTGGGACCACTTGAACATACCACCCACCCACCACCACCTCAGTGCTGCCCCTCGGGAGTTTCTCCTCCAGGAATAACTAGTGAGAAAGCCCGTGGGGGCCCACGATTCTGACTTTCTCTGCCATGAGGACTGTGTCTGGGTGGCACATGACTCCCATTCCCTGAGGGCTGCTCAGCCCTTCCAGGTGAACCTCACATGTCAGGGTCAAATGGGTCCCCGTTGACCCAGTGGAATTCGTCCCCGACTCTGCGCAGTCCGATCCAGGGCTCCCTCCTTGTGAACTTGAACATGAATTCCTGCATGAAGGAGGAAGAACCCACAGGGTTAGATGCAGTCTCGGCCATTCCTGCCCCTGAATGAACCTCAACTCCAGAGAAGGTCCCCACTGCACCCTGGAAGTGAGGCACTGAGGTTCCAGAACTCCGTGTGGTGGCATGGTGGCAGCTCAGGTTCAGAGTGGTCTGCTGATCCCTGAACACCATGCCCACTGGGCCAGGCTACTGGGAGCAAAGTGTGTCCCTGAGCTCAGTGGTCCTCCTCTGCCTGCGATGCAGTGTCTGGGACAGACCTACAGGCTTCCAGGGCTTTCTCTGTGGATGGTGGTGTTGTTAAGTGCCCTCAAGTAGATTCCAACTCATAACAACCCTCTATAGGGTTTCCAAGGAGCAACTGGTGAGCTTGAACTGCCAACCTTGCAGTTCAAATGGGTTTGCAGTCTGACGCATTAACCCACAGCGCCACACTAGGGCTCTGTAGATGGTAGGTGTGCTCCAACAATAGTGACCTTTAGATTGTGAGTGTGGTAGGCTGCCACTGTTTACCTTCAATGTCCACAGAAGTTCATAGACTCACTCACAGTGCTTCTGTAGGTTCAAGTCCACCCAGAGGTGTTGCAGAAGAAAGGTTTAGAGATCCTCTTCCCCCAAATCAGCCACTGACAACCCTGTGGAGAGTCCCGTTCTCCTCTGATACTCCTGACTCAGTCTACAGGCTGGCAGCTGGTCTGTTCTCATCAACTGGATCGAGGAGTTGTATGTGTGGACTGGACGTAGGTGATCACTTCCTCGTGCGGACAAAGTCTGTTGTTGTGAAGGGCCGTTGAGTCAGTTGTGACTCATAGTAACCCTGTATAAGGTTTCCAAGGAGCAGCTGGTGGGTTGGAACTGCCAACCTTATCCTACAGCGCCACCCCAGGATTCCATGTAGAAAGTGGGAGTACAATTCTTATATTTTACTGACCAGGAAGCTGGGTTATGGATTAGTCTTGACAAAGGACGTGGGAGCAGGAGGTGGCTCCCAGAGGCTTTGGGCACTCGCCCCTGTCCCCCAACACACTCACCAGCTCCTTCTGGCTTTGGATCACAGCCAACGCAGCCTCGTGGGTGTGGCAGGACTGGCGGCCTGTGTTCCAATCCCTGGGTTCCTCGGAGAAGAAGTAGCACTTTCTCCCATAGAGTAGCCAGTCCTCCGGGCAGGGTGCCTCGCACTTGATGCAGCCCTTGGAAGCTGAGGGAGAGAGGGGCTCAGTGCCCAGCTCACACCCAGCCTGCGCCTCTGTCCCTTGGAAGCCAATGGACAGAGGGGCTCAGTGCCCAGTGTACACGCACCACCCTGAAGCTACAGGACCACCACATGCCTCTGCCTACCCCCATTGGCCACTCCAGGGGACACAGCTACCATTGGAGAACAGGAAGGGAAGCAGCACATAGGGAGGCCATAGCGGGGTCCCCAAAGAGATGGCACTAGGTCAGTGACACACTGAGAGTTACGGAACCCCAGAAACGCAGATTTGGAGAGTACATTAGGAGATTCAGGCCCTCTCTCTGCCCATCTGCAAGCTTTGGGAGGGGTCCACTCTCATCACTGGCTAACTAAGGAGGCAATCCACTTTGCCAATGAAAGACTGGCTGAAAAGTTCTTTTTGAATTCTAAGTTCCAACCTGCCCCTCTTGTGGGAGCCCCAGGCAATAATCTTCCAATGACTGCGATTACTCTTGACAAGAAAGAGGGTATAAAACTCATCCTTTTGTCTCTTGCACTTAGCTTAGGGCCCAGTATCAAAATGGGTTTAAAAAACACTTGATTAAAGAGGGGGGAAATGTGGAACTGAATTTAAAATTCACATGGCATCTAGACTTTCTGGAGCCATTAAGACTGGACCAACGTCCCCTTCCCCCTAAACTATTGTCCTGAGGATATCTTTAAACTTTAAACCAAAATAATCCCCAGAAGATATCTTTGAACCAATAGTAGTTTAACTTGAATTCGAAAATAATATCTGCTTTGAGCATTGTGTTCTTTTACAATACTATTGATGTGAGATCAAATGGACAGCAGCAACATGAAATATGGGTAGATGGGAAGCTCAGTACGCAGTGCGTTTGTGTTAATGATGGTGAAATCATTTGGAAAAGGATATCCTGAATGGTTGATAATGAATGGAGGGAATTGTAACCATAGCAATGAAATGATATACTATAGGATGAATGTAAAACTAATGTTCTCCCATGTAAACTATCACATAATTCACAATAAAATATTAAAAAAAGGATATCCTGAAAAGTGGTACAATTTGAAGAAGGTAATCAATGTCACTGGATTGTACATGTAGAAACTGTAGAATCAGTGTGTGTTTTGTATATACAAAGGGGCTCAAGAAGTTAGTGAAAAAATAATGGAGGAGAGAACAAACAAGATGGGGATTGGGTGGACGTGCAGTGAGGAGCTCCATCAACAACACAGAATACCGGACCAAGCAGGCTCAGGGGATGGTTCCAGAACTCTGAGCCAAATATAAAGGATTATTTAGAAAGTTGGAAGGCTTACAGCCAGTGAAATTTATAGCAGAAACAAGAAATCCAGTGCTTTCTAATCCAAGGCACTCAACTGCTCCCTGAGTGGCCATCTTAGGTGAAACCGAGTGGGGGAAGGATCAGAGCAGCCACGGACGCCTGACAGAACTGCAGAGATAAAGGTGTGGACATTCTTTTTTTTGTATCTGTTTACTGGCCTCTTGCTGTCTGTGCACCTCCATTCATGAGGGGGTGCCTAGAGGTGACTAGAGGGGGTGCTTGAGTGAGTGGACACCCCACCCCCACCCTCAGAGGGTTCTATTAAGCATGTGCATAGATCTCCTCAAAATGTAAAGGGCCAGTTTCCACTTAAAGCCAAACAGCAGTGAAAAACGGCCACAGCCAGCCCTGAACTGGTTACCACTGGGAAAAAGGCCTAAATGGGGATTGTAGAGCGGGACAGGCAGACTAAAAAGGAAATAGGCCAAAAATTAAATCCTGAGGTACATCATAACGACAGACAGTGGCATGCTGAAATTTCTCAGGAAGAAGAGTGAAAAAGGAAGCCCATCTCCTGATCACATCTACCTAGAGGCAATCAGAAAGCATAAAAAATACCAAAATACACACTCATCTAAGTATTAAGACCATAGCTAACCACTAAATATGCCCAAACAACAGAAACAGACGACCATATCAGTCCATGTCCAGAAACAAGATAAGAGTGACTGAGGCAAATGAGTTGGAGGTAGACCTACATCCATACTGGAAGATGGGCAGGCTTTGGAAATGCCTGAGAAGGAATTCAGAAAAAATGATTATAAAATTTATCAAAACACTTTACAATGCAGTTGAGAAAAATAAGGAAGAAGTCAGGAAAGTGCTACAGGAACAATCAAATAAGACAGATACAGCATTGGAAACAATTCAAAACCTACAGAAAGAGGTTCAAACGATTAATAATAGAATACCAGAAATGGACAAGACACTGAAAGGGCAAAGGAGTAAAATTGAAGAGATGGAATTACGATGGTGTAATCAAAACATTCCAGGATAGGCAAAAGCTAAGGGATTTTGCCAAAGTCAACCCTGCTATGAAAAACAACCTAAAGGGAGCTCTGTGGACACAGTAGTAACTGTGGTGGTAGTAACTCTAAATACCAACTGGGAAGGAAGGAGTCTTCACATCAAGTATCAATGCTATCCCCTCTGTACACAGGGTAGATAGGGATGGGCAATTTAGACACTGGCTATCAAAAATGAGGGGGCGATAAAGGCACCAAGTGACTGGCTTACAAGGTTTCAAGAGGGAGTTTAATTTAAGAGTGTGTTGGGGAAGAAAGAGTCCCCACTGAATAGCTGTCATATTGTCTAGATGGGTCTGATTAAAAGAGATGGGTATAAGATTCATATGATTCAATAGTGAGTAATTGTTATAACTAATTGCGACAGTCACAATTATAAAGATAAAAGTTTTATAACAAAAACAGGGGAGCAGTTAATCTTACAGTCCAGAAACAAAGGACCCAAGGACCATCAAGGAAGAAGAACACAAGTGGAATGCGGGACCCTATCCAGAGAAGCAGCAACACCAGAGATGGAGGCAGAGTTGGTGACATGGAGAGAGGGAGCAGCTGAGGACTCTAGATTCATGAGAAGAGCTAGTGGCCAAGTGACAGACTTGCAGAATGTATCCTTTTGTGGTGTAAATTATTACATATGCCTGAGTGTGTGTGTTTTCTTTTCTTTTTTTTTTATTTAATGAGCTAAGCTCTGGTAGCGTAGTGGTTATGAATTGGGCTGCAAACCGCAAGGTCAGCAGTTCAAAACTACCAGCTGTTCCGCGGGAGAAAGATGAGTCTTTTTGCTCCCGTAAAGATTTACAGCCTCGGAAACTCTGTACAGGGTTCCTATGAGTCAGAACCAACTCCACAGCACATAACCACCACCACCAAAGTGAATAGAGAGAAATACTTCTACTCCCGTAAAGATTTACACCCTCGGAAACCCTGTACAGGGTCGCTATGGGTTGGACCCGACTCGATGGCACTTAACAACAACAACAACAACTACTAATTGATGGTACATGGAGGGGAATGTAATCATTGTGATGAAACAAGTTGTATGATTTGTTGAATGTAAAACTGATGATCTGCCCTGTAAACTTTCACTCAATCCACAATAAAAACTTAAGATAAAGAAAAAAAAAGTAATGGCGGACCCTACCCAGAGAAACAGTGACACCAGAGATGGAGGCAGAGACGATGACTTGGAGAGATGGAGCAGCTGGGGGACCCAGAGAGGGTGAGGGGCTAAGCACCAAGGGACAGGCTTGCAGGGTGTACCCTTTGGTTTGTTGATGATCCATGAAGGGGACTGTAGCCATGGCAATGGAACGATATATGATAGGATGAATGTAAAGCTAATGTTCTCCCATGTAAACTATCACATAATTCACAATAAAACATTAAATAAATAAATAATGGAATTTTTCCATGAACTTTTGAAGCCCACTCATATTTTCACCAAAAACAAAAGGAAAACTTGTTGAATGAATGAATGGGATTAACCCCTCCAAGATGGCTGTCATGCATTCTTGCAGCACCTCTTGGATGGCACACAAGATGGAGCTCCCTTTGTCTGCATGCTTTGGTAAGGGGGTTCATCTAGCTCACATGTATGGATTATTTTGGGGCAAAACCACATCACGTCAGACACTGTGTTTTCTACTCCCTCCCCCATGGAACTGCTACTCCATCGGGACAGAGGCAGTGGGCTGCCCAAACGCCTCTAATGCCCCAAACTCCACGCTCACCCAAGATGCTCATCACCACCAGGATGGCGAACAGCAGTACAGCAATGGCCCCCAGTAGGAGACGCGTGGTGGTGTCTGAGGGGGAGAGAGAGGGCGTCAGTGCCTGCCACCCCGAGCCCACACCAACCTCTCCCCACACCAACCTCACGCCCACACCAACCACCACCCCCCACACCAACCCAGCCCACACCAACCACCACCCCCACACCAACCCAGCCCACACCAACCTCACCCCATGTCAACCCCTACCCCCATGCCAACCCCGAGCCCACACCAACCTTACCCCACACCAACCCAGCCCACACCAACCGCCACCCCCACACCAACCCAGCCCACACCAACCCCTACCCCCACGCCAACCCCAGTCCACACCAGCCTCAACCTCACACCCACACCAATCCCGACCCCACACCAACCCCAGCCCACACCAACCTCACGCACACACCAACCCCAGCCACATCAACGTCAACCTCACACCAACCACCAACCCCACTCCCAGAAACCCCACCTCCAACAACCACACCCCCACAACTCCCAACCCCAACAAGAACCCCATTCCCAGTGAGTATGTGCTTCATACATTACTATCCTGTCTCCTCCCTTCCCCCAACTCCTCACAATTGTCAAGTCTTGTGTTGTGTATTGTGTACATCAGGAATGCTCTTGTTCCCATCACAACCATCTGGTACCTATGCCTGTTGTTGTTGAGTACCATGGAGTCAGTTCCAACACTTAGCAACCCCATCTACAGAAGAACTATACACCACGTGGTCTCACAGCATCCTCACAATTGTTCCCGTGGTTAATCCCATTGTTGCAGTCACTGTGTCAACTCATCTCATTGAAGATCGTCCTCTTTTGTGCTGACCCTCTACTTTACCAAGCATGATGTCCTTCTCCAGGAACTGGTCCTAACTGTGGCTTGTTGTTAGGTGGCATCGAGTCAGTACTGACTTATAGTGATCCTATGCACAACAAAACACTGCCTGGTCCTGGGCCACCCTCACAATTGTTGCTACACCTGAGCCCATCGCTGCCGTCACTGTACCAATCCATCTAGTTAGGGTCTTCCTCTTTTCCCCCAACCATCTACTTTACAAAACATGATATCCTTCTCCAGGGACTGGTCCCTCCTGATAATATGTCCGGAGTATGAGAGATGAAGCTTGGCAATCCTGGCTTCCAAGAAGTACTCTGGCTGCACTTCTTCCAACACAGATCTGTCTGTTCTTTTGGCCATACATGATACTTTCAATATTCTCCTCCAATACCATAACTCAAATGCATCAATTCTTCTATGTTCTTCCTTATTCACTGTCCAACTTTCACATGCATATGAGGTTATTGAAAATACCATGTGTCAGGCGCATCTTAGTCTTCAAACTGACATCTTTGCTCTTCAACACTTTAAAGAGGTCTTGTGAAGCAGATTTGCCTAATGAAATATGTCATTTGATTTCTTGACTGCTGCTTCCATTAGTGTTGATGGTTGATCCAAGAATGAAGTCCTTGATAACTTTGATCTATTCTCCATTGATATGGATGTTGTTTATTGGTTCAGTAGTGAGGATTTTTGTTTTCTTTACGTTGAGATGCAACCCATACCAAAGGTTGTTCTCTTTGATCTTCATCAGTAAGTATTTTAAGTCCTCTTCACGTTCAGCAAGCAAGGTTGTATCATCTGCATATCACAGGTTGTTAATGAGTCTTCCTCCAATCCTGATACTATGTTTTTCTTCATATAATCCAGCTTTTTGGATTATTTGCTCATCATACAGGTTGAATAAGTATGGTGAAAGAATACAACCCTGGCACACCTTTACTAATTTTAAACCATTCAGTATTTCCTTGTTCTGTACAAACAACTGCCTCTTGGACTGTATACAGGTTCCTCAAGAACACAGTTAGTGTTCTGGAATACTTACTCTTTGCAATATTGTCCATAGTTTGTCATGACCCACACAAACAAAAGCCTTTGTGTAGTCAATAAAGCAGATAAACATCTTTCTAATATTCTCTGCTTTCAGCCAAGATCCATCTGACATCAGCAATGATATCCCTCTTTCAACGTTCTCTTCTGAATCCAGCTTGGACCTCTGGAAGTTCTCTGTCAATGTATGGTTGCAGCCATTTTTGGATTACCTTTAGTAAAACTTACTCTCATAGGTTATCAATGATATTGTCTGATGATTTCCACATTCTGTTGGGTCACCTCTCTTTGGAATGGGCACAAATGCAGATAGATCTCTTACATTAATTCCCAGTGCCATGCTCTTTGCCAATGCCTTCAATGACCCTTGGACTTCTTCCTTCAGGATCATTGGCTACCTCTTGAAATGGTTGAACATCAACTATTTCTTTTTGGTATAGTGACTGTATGTATTTCTTCCATCTTCTTTTGATGCTTTCTGTACCATTCAATTATTTGCCCATAGAATTCTTCAGTACCACAAGTTGAGGTTTGAATTTTTTCTTCAGTTCCCTCAGCTTGAGAAATGCTGAGCATATTCTTCCCTTTTGATTTTCTAACTCCAGGTCTTTGCATGTTTTGTTATAATATTTGATTTTGTCTTCTCTAGCTGACCTTTACATTTTTCTGTTCAGCACTTGTACCTCCTCACTTCTTCCATTTGCTTAGGTATCTCTGTGCTGGAGAGCTAGTTTCAAAGTGTCTTCTGACAGACATCATTTTGGTCTTTTCCTTCTTTTTTGTTTTCTTAATGCCCTTTTGCTTTCTTCCTGTAATATGTTCTTGATGTCATTCCCCAACTCTTCTGGTCTTTGATCTATAGTGTCTAATGCAAAAAATCTGTTCTTCAGATATCTCTAAATTCAGGTGGGATATATTTTGGCTCAATTTTCTTCAGCTTCAGTCTGAATTTGCATATGAGCAGTTGATGGTTAGTTCCACAATCTGCCCCTGGCCTGCTTTTGGCTGATGATATAGAGCTTTTCCGCTGTCACTTCCCACAGATGTAGTCAATTTGACTTCTGTGTAGTCCATCTGATGAGGTTCATGTGTATAGCAACCCTGTATAGGGTTTCCCTTCTCCCCCTCCCTGTTCTGGATCACTCTTGCCAGCTATGCCAGATGCTAGGCAAGAAGGCCTCAAGGTGGCCTATAGAAACACCACAATGTGAGGAAATCATTAAAAATGGAAACGATCAGCCCCACCCCAGACCTACAGAATGGAAACTGTGGGGTGGGGTCAGCAACCTGAGTCTTAACAAAGCCTCCTAGTTACTTCAATGATGCAAATTCAAGTTTGCAATTCTATAATAGTGAGAGACCCTGGTTCGATTCCAAACAATGTGTCTCATGCTTCGTGGTCTTGATGTGCCATGGAGTCGGTTCTGACTTATAGTGACCCTGTACCGGGTTTCCAAAGCTGTAAATCTTTACAGGAGCAGAAAGCCTATCTTTCTCCCATGGAACAGGTGATAGTTTCGAACTGCTGACCTTGAGGTTTGCAGCCTGACTCGTAACCACTACGCTACCAGAGCTCCTCATCTCATGTTTAGCTACCACCCATCTGTCAGCAGAGCTTCCACACTGTGATAGACTAAGAAAGGCCTGGCGATTTACTTACAAAAAATCGATCAGTGACAACACTCTGGAGGCCTAATGCACAACAATGCCAGAACGGGGCATCATTTTCTTCCACTGTACATGGGGTCACCATGAGATGGACCAACTTGATTGTAGCTAAACAACAAAGTCAGTCGTGGTATTGACTATGTCCATCCCCCAACAAGCTTTTTATCAGTTCCCTCTGAGGCTTTCTGAGTTCTCCAGCCTTTAATCTCTTGCTGGTCTCTCCACCTGGAGCCTAAGTACAGGACTGCTAACCACAAGGTTGGTGGTCCAAACCTACTAGCTGCTCCTCAGAAACCCTGTGTAGGGTCACTATGAGTAGGAATCAACTCAATGGCACTTAACAACAACAATAAAAGTCTCTACCTTGTCCCCAGGGTTCAGTCCCCCGGCTCCTTGAAGTAACAAATGATCCAGCTCTCCCAACGTCCTTCTTCTCTATCACCACCTCTTTAAATCCTGCCCACTTCTGACACCATCCATCCTCTCACAGAAGCCTTTCTTGGTGCCCCGTATATCTGTCTCCAAGGGTTACCATCACAAAGTACCAAAATGGGGTGAAATTAGGGTGTCAGCAGGGCCATATTTTCTGATGGCTTCAGTAGAATGTTGTTTCTTGTCTCTTCCACCTTCTGGTGACCCCAGTTGTGCCTTGAAATCACATCTTCAATACCAGTTTCAATCTACTGCAATCTCTGCCTCCATCTTCACATGGCTGTCTCCCTCTGGGTATCTCTTAGGACTGGTATGAGGACGTCAGTCATATTGGATTAGGTCCCGCCCAATTGACCTCTTGTCAACTTGGCTGATAACACCTTCAAAGACCCTATATCCAAATAAGGTCAGGTGCACAGAGACCAGGGATGATGTCAATATATCTTTTGGAGAAGACATAAAACAATTCATACCTGTTGCTCTTCTTAAGCGCTGTTGAGTTGGTTGTGATCCTGTATAGGGTTTCCGAGGAGCTGCTGGTGATCTTGAGCCACTGACCACGCGGTTCAAACCGACTTTGCAGTCCAGCACATTAACCCACAGTGCCACAACAGGAGTCCCTTTCTAAAGTTTTTTTCTATTTTAATATCAAAATTATGTCTGGCAGCTCCCTGTTGATGTACTGCTATGACTGTCTTTTCATTATTTTCAGCAAAACTTTACTAGAATGTGATATTAATGATGTTGTTGTTGTTGTGAAGTGCTGCCGAGTCTGTTTCGACCCATAGCAACCCTGTATAGGGTTTCCAAGTAGCAGCTGGTGAGCTTGAACCACCAACCTTGCAGTTCAAATGGCTTTGCAGTCAGGCACATTAGCTCACAGTACCACACCAGGACTCCATGTTAATGATTTTGTTCCATAATTTCCACCTCTCTTTGGAATAAGCACAAGTACAGATTTCTTCCCAATGGTTGTCCAGGTAGCTGTCTTCCAAATTCCTTGGCATTGACAAGTGAGCACTTCCAACATGGCATCATTTGTTGA